ATCAGTCTTTAGTCCATTAGCTATATAAAAATATCGATATGAGATTTCAACACAGGTACCATCACGTACAAGTGGTTTATATCATGCATTGAATTTAGAAGCGAACCTCTTAGCCCCTTCCATTAGCATTTGTACCTCTGGTTATGCCCTAAGCTGTGCTTACCTCTTTGCTAAGTTATTTTAGGAATATCCGTTAGAGTCTTACGATAGAAATGTTCCTTGTAATGTTTTCTATACATTGAAGATATATTCATATATTAGCTCTAGTTTCAGCTATACTTGAATCTTAGATTTTCACTCGTAATACTCGTCGTTAGAATATTGCACTTGATAATTTATAGGAATTTATTTATTACTTTAGCCAATCATGATTAGACAATTATATTACCATGATTAGAGATTGACACCTGTCGTAGAATCATTATAAATATAGCTCATGTAATCAGTTTAACAGAGTAGAGTAGAATAACGATCCCGAAGCTTCTACCGAGAGCGGTAGTCCCTTAACACTACTAAGTCACTMCCGCTCGTACTTCCATATGTCCGTCCGTGTACACACTACATGGATCCCGCTTAATTATGTSGAGACATAATTAATATCATAGTACATCAGTTTCTAACTGTTAAAAAAAGTTTTTGAGTGTTAACCCAAAACGAAAATTGGGATCAAAACTCATCCGAAGGTCTAGTTTTTGGCGCTTTTGCCATTATTACTTGTTATTGAAAACAATTCCCTTAAGTTTTAGGCCTGGGTTTTTCTCTATATCACACACTGAATAAACTCAAAAAAGAAAAGAAAGAAACACATCACAGCATTTATTAATGAAAAACCATCTCAACTAACAATGTCCAATATATAAATCTCCGACGAAGTTGATTATTAACTTTTGCAATTGAAAGATCCGAGCCTGGTTCACGACACCTAGGGGACGAAGGTAGGCCCAGAAATAAATGCCAAGTGTTCTCAAGGAGGATTATGTTGTGTTGCGTGAAAAACAAAACTTAATCTTAGAAGATCGTAACAACAAGTCTACTCTACAAACTTTGGTCTGCAAAAGATTTAGCTCCAGAAATTTTAAACTTTGATATCCTTTAGTGCTTTGGCGGGTATTGTTTGCCTTAAATCTTCTGGAGGTAGATCGTTGCATTCTAGCACGAAATTTGACTTAGATGCGGCTCAGTCAAATTCAAGTGCAAATGCCAATTGTCTGAATTTCCGGTTCCACCCGTACTGAACAGAATTACTATTACAGCAACACTTCATCAGTAGGGTAAAACTAAGCAGCCTCACGACGGTCTAAACCCAGCTCACGTTTCCTATTAGTGGGTCAACATTCCAACACTAGGCAAATTCTGCTTCGCAATGATAGGAAGAGCCGATATTGTAGGATCAAAAAGCAACGTCGCTATGAACGTTAATCGCTGACACAAAATCATAAAGACTGAAGGGATTAATAGGCCATACTTTCACAGTATGTATTCATACTGAAAATCAAAGTCAAGTGAGCATCTACTCTTTTGTTCTACATAAGATTTCTCTTCTCATTGAGTTCACCTTAGGACACCTTGCGCTCGTATCAATAGACAGATGTCCCGCCCACGCCAAACACCCACCCTGACAGTGTCTTCGACTCTGATTGGTGTGCAAAAGAAAGACCATAAATCCAGAACGCGAACCTTTCTTYTCCACTTCATTCAACAAGTAAAATTTATCCTCCTTAAAGGTTTTCAGTTGTGCACATTCCAAATGCAAGACTTGCCATAAAAGCCATAACTTGTTATTTCTTGTCAGGCACCCTCTCAACACAATAGCTTACCATCGACACTTAACATCACACGCGGTCTTGGGCCGTATGAAACCAAAATCCAGACTTTGCCTTCTTTGCCCAACTTTCACAACGTCTCCCCGAACGCATCACTGGCGTGCACGCAATGCAAGAGGCTTAAACTATTCTCAAAGCCCGGCTACCAGTACGGCGTTCTTCCACGGGCCATAAGCTGTAAAGCTGTGCCAATCCATACCAGAACTTCACACCTACTTTTCCAAATATCGATGTCAGTGCAACCACTTCTCCAATACGTTTCCCTACGGATCTCCACAATGCAAWTGCTAAATATCCCAAGAAACCAACTTTTGTACTCGGCTTCAGWGCGAGCTATGAGGCGTCTCTGCCATTTTTCTCGACACCCTTCTCAAGCACCGTTTCCCCCCACATTAATACTCTTCGCTTTTCCAATCCCCTTCTGTGACAGGGCAAAAWWWTTTTTAATTTTTTTTCTTATTTTGTAATTACCTTAATTTATTGCTTGGTGGGAACATTATGCAAAATGTTTTTCCCACAGCGGGAATCGAACTCGGCCCAAGGCGCTGAGAGCGCCAAATCCTAACCACTAGACCATGTGGAAATACGATAAATGTACATTTACGATTGTGGTATCTTACCTTAATTTCCGTCGTTAGACTGTCATTCCCTTTCGAATCACCATCTTTGTTTTTTACTCTSACTCAAAATAATAAAAAAATTAGTGTTGTTATCATTTTTGTCTCTTTATTTGGCATACTGRATGGCAAAAGGCGTATTTCATCGGCTGAAAGGGAATACTTGGTTATTGCATTTATAGTTGGAGGGGTTATTACGTTTATGGTGGATTTTGATTATTACATTTATGGTTAAATTTTATTACATTTATGGTGGGGTCGATTATCACATTTATGGTTGACTGTTATTACATTTATGGTTGATTTTTATTACACTTATGGTAGGTATTACATTTATGGGTGTTATTACATTTAAGGTATTAGGATACGCTTACGACCACTATGCGCGCAAACTTAAATAACGCGCTGCTTTATAGTATAACACAAACAAAGTATACATTTTCTGAAAGCTGAGTAAATATAATTAATGAAGAAATCTTCAAAATACGATTTTTTAAATTGTTGTTYACATTATTGTCCTCGAAGTGAAACGTTAACGGACACGTAACTTTTAAACTATGTTTGCGAAAAATGGCTTAACATACTCAGGAGATAATAAGCTCAAAAAGAGTGTCCAAGATYTTTGATATCTGTTTTCTATCTCTCGCTATTTTTGATCAAAGTTCAGCGATCGCTTTTGGAGTGTTGTTTAGAGTAAAAAGCGTCATAACTTTGGAGAGAAATTTTCAAATTCGGAGAAACCCTTTGTTGGATCATTAGTTACTTTATAAACTCTCCAAATTTTAGGAAAATCGAATGAAATCCAATGGACTTTTAGCTTTTTGAAGTTGAGGTTTTAGCGGTAAAAAAGATTCGAGAAAAATGCATTTTCTTTTGGAGCCGGAAGCTGTAAGGAGCCACGATGGTTTTGGCCAAAACACCTTTAGCCTTCCATTTTGTCATCACTTGTCAAATTATCTGGTGTTCTGTACGATCGCAATGTGAGCGTAGCTAGAAGTCGAGGGTCAAGGGTCGAGGGTAAAAAGTCGAGGGTCTGTAAAAAAGGAACAGCACATCTTTTGTCGCATTTAAATGGCTAATTAATATGTACGAAGATACAGACAGTTAGTTTTTCTATTAAAAAAACAAAACAACAAAGTTTAGGATCTTTTTACAATGACAAAGGAGCGTGACAGATGTGCATATAATAAGCGACGGTACATTTCCGGTCTTGATAAAGTCACGATATCGATTTTTCTCAAAATTTTGCCTTTTCCAAGCTAAAATTGCCAGAAGTTTAACAAACAAATGAAAGATAAAAGTTYGAATTTACGAAATTAAAAAGACAATTTTTTTTGAGCAATTACAAAAGTTAATAATCAACTTCGTCGGAGATTTATATATTGGACATTGTTATTTGAGATGGTTTTTCATTAATAAATGCTGTGATGTGTACAATTTTTTTTGAGCAATTACAAAAGTTAATAATCAACTTCGTCGGAGATTTATATATTGGACATTGTTATTTGAGATGGTTTTTCATTAATAAATGCTGTGATGTGTTTCTTTCTTTTCTTTTTTGAGTTTATTCAGTGTGTGATATAGAGAAAGACCCAGGCCTAAAACTTAAGGRAATTGTTTTCAATAACAAGCAATAATGGTAAAAAGCGCCAAAAACTAGACCTTCGGATGAGTTTTGATCCCAATTTTCGTTTTGGGTTAACACTCAAAAACTTTTTTTAACAGTTAGAAACTGATGTACTATGATATTAATTATGTCTCSACATAATTAAGCGGGATCCATGTAGTGTGTACACGGACGGACATACGGAAGTACGAGCGGGAGTGACATACTAGTGTTAAGGGACTACCGCTCTCGGTAGAAGCTTCGGGATCGTTATTCTACTCTACGTTGTTGAACTGATTACATGAGCTATATTTATAATGATTCTACGACAGGTGTCAATCTCTAATCATGGTAATRTAATTGTCTAATCATGATTGGTTTAGAAAGTAATAAATAAATTCCTATAAATTCCTAAGTGCGATATTCTAACGACGAGTATTACGATAAAATGCTTGTTTGAATGTTAGAATGTACCTTTGTCAGGCTCTTTAATAGAAAATGTATGGGAAATAATGAAGACCTAAACCTCATTTTCGATTCAAAATTTTGCTTTGGGTTTAACACTTTGATTCTACTTTCATCGGTCATCTCCACTTCCAAACAAGTTAAACTTTCTGAATAACAAGATTTTAGCCTTTTACAACAGTCTTTTTTTAACGAAAATAGTTTATGGCGCTCACCGCTTGAATACGAAAAAAATTCTCTCTTAATAAGTAATATAATAAAGATATTAATATTATTTTGATAGTTTTATCTTAATTTTTGTCAAAATCTTTTCTTTGGATAAACCATTCGTAATTTCTAGCATTCGAGGCAATATTTCGAAATATTGAGAAGCATGCGGAGTTGGCTGCTAATTTCAGCGCGTTAAAAATTGCCCATGCATTTGGAATATTTGCTCTTTTCGGTCTTTTTCCTCTCTTTCCAGAGCAAAAGGTACGTTGTTCTCAAAAGTAAAGTTATATAGCACAAGTAAACTGCGTGACAAAACATGCTAAATGACCATGTAAATCTTCTRTTCTTTCGCTAACTACCGTAGTATCGTGTTTTCTAGGCTACGAAACCTAAGAAACCATAAGAGGCGAATGTATAGGCCAACAGATAGTATGAGCTTATAATATCAGCAAAAATACGATTCTAAATTTTAACGAATTCGTATGATTATATACCAAAATGTTCAGGAAAGCCCGGGGCTTTCTTTGACAGGTTCTGTTTTATTTCAAGGATGGACGATTTACTAGCTTGACCCCGGTTATGTAATGCATATTCTCTTGTAAAATACATCCAATAGCATACATTTAAAAAGTACGGTGGTTTTTTTCAATAAAATTCCATCTAAACCATATAATACAGTCCGTAAATAGTTGAATTAAATGAATCTACTTCTGTTTTTTGCCTAGATAGTCATTATTTTGAGAAAAGATCCAAAATACGTGTTTTTGAGACATAATTTGTATGGGCTCACATGAGGGGGCGTGAGCTTGAATTCGTAGCTGATCAAATGCTAACAGAATTTTTTCTGATGAACAAAGACTCGTAGCTGATCAAATGCTAACAGATTTTTTTCTGCTGAGCAAAGACAAAGAAAACGATGGAGTGCATTTCGATTTCATTTTTTCACGTCATGGTTTTCATTATGGAGACATTATCTTCATCTCGAATAAAAATAATTATAGTACACTCAACAAAATTACTCGACTCTGATTGGTCGAGAGGAGTACCGAATTAAGTCGCTATGGAAACACGGCCAAAACAATGTCAACAGCGGCAAAACAAACAAACAAAAAACAAAAAAACAAAAAAAGAAGAAAAAGCCGTAAAAACTAATAAGAGCTAATCTTTATTATGCATTTCAGTTGCGCGATGGACTGAAAATCGGCCGCCAAATAGACAAAGATGAACGGCGTCGCTT